ACACACACACACACACACACACACACACACACACACACACACACACGCAAACACACACACATGCAAACACACACGTGCAAAAAATAAAATTGAGTTAAAAAGAGATCAGGGCATGGTAGTGTGTGCAGGTCTAGCCTGGTCTACATAACAAGTTCAGGGCAGCCAGAGCTTTATAGTGAGACCTTCTCTCAGGAAGGTAATATCAAAGTAAATGAAAATTTCAAATGAAAGCATGAAAAGATTTCCAGTTTTTGTACACCAGGGTCTGTCTTCCTCAGGTCACGGTGAGAGATGCCTCTGTTAATTATCTCAGCAAGGCCGTCCCACCCTCTCCCCCGCCCCCTGCGAAGGCTGCCTGATTAAAGAGAGAGAGCCTAGCGCACTGAAATGGCAGAGCGCCGCTGCCTCTGGAACTGCGCATTTCATTTCAATAAATGACCACACTGGCAGTAGACGTGCAGGGAGGAGCTTAATCTGGGAGATCTAACCACTGTCCCTGGTCGGTCCAGGCATCCAAGGCACACTGCAGGCCTTTTCCTGGCAGCCCTGCCCCGATTAGTTGGACGGGCTGGTTTAGACTGAGCGGCAGCCTCCAGCAGCTGCTGCGGGGGGGGGGGGGGGTGAGGTACAAAGCAGATCTGCCGTGCTCCGGGCTCGGTTTCCAGCCCTGCCTCATCCAGCCGCCTTCTCCAACCCATCTGCAGGCCCGATTCCTCAGAGTTCTTCTACAGGCACCCCTGACGGGGCTGGGGGGTCGTTACCACGGCAACAGCCTTTAATAAATGATTGCTAGGCCAGCCATCGTTAGAGTTGTTGTTTTTTTTTTTTTTTAATTTTTAGTATGTGGGTGTTCACTCGTGTGTGTGTCCCGTGTACCATGTGGGTTCACTGTCCGTGGAGACCAGAAGAGGGTGTCGGGTCTCTCGGAACTAGAGTCATAGATGGTTGGGAGCTGCCTTGTGGGTGCCAGGAATCGAACCTGGGTCCTCTGGAAGAGCAGCCAGTGTTCTTAACCATGGAGTTACCTCTTCAGCCCCCAGGCCAGGCATGTTTAATAAGTGCTTTACTTATTTTTAAAAAGCTTTATTTCTGTTGTGTTAAAAGCACGTGTGTCTGTGTGTGGGCACGCGTGCATTAGTGTACTTGCCCGCTGCATCCGGAAGAGAGTGTCATGTCTCCCGGAGCAGGCGGGTCAGCGACTGTGTGTTGGGAACTGAACTGGGCCCTTTGCAAGAACGTCACAGGGTCTTAGCCACTGAGCCACTTCTCTGACTCCCCACTTGATGTGTATGTGGGCACGTGTGAGCATGTGTGTCAGGTACATGTGGAAGGCAGGGTCTGTGGTCTCCGTTACGTAGGTCCCGGGGGATAGAACTCAGGTCATCAGGCGTGGTGACAGGCCCCTTCACCTGCCGAGTCATTTCACTGGTCCCGAATAAATGAAATACGTGTGGACCCGGGTCATCTCTGCGGGAGCCTGGACACAGGTAGCCCTGTTTTAGATGGACGGACGGAAGGCTAGTGGAGCAGTTTGCCGCGAGTCAGGAGGACGTGGGTCAGGTGTCAGCTCAGCCTCAAGCATTGTGGCCCGAAACTCGCTGTCCAGTTCGGCCGTATTCTTAATCTGTGGCCTTTCCCCCCCAGCTAAAGATTAAGAAGAAGAAGATGGCAAGTGACCAGGAGCAGTTGGCAAGCAAGCTGGACAGAGCCCTGTCCCTCACCAAGCAGGACAAGCCGAAGTCACCCTTCAAGCTTTCCGACAGTCCCGGGGGCAAGCCGAAAGCTAGCGGGGGCTGCGGCAGGTTCTTGACGCCCTATGACAGCCTACTGGGCGGGGGCAGGAAGGCGCTGGCCAGAGGACTCGGCTTGTCTCTGAAACCCTCCAGAGAAGGTAAACACAAAAGGGCTGCCAGAGCCAGGAAGATGGAGGGGGGCTTCAAGGCCAGAGGCCAGCCCAAGTCTGTGCATTCTCCGTTCGCCTCAGAAGCAAGCAGCCACTCTTACAGTAAGTATCTGCGTTCACTGCCTGTGGGCTAACCTTGTTGGCTCACGATGGCTTTCGCCCTTCTCGGAGGGTCCCTCGAAGCTCTGCACTGGGCCTGAAGCCAGATGGGCTCCCTGAGGGTGGAAAGGCCAGTGTGTGGACTTGTGGGAGGGTACTGGATGGTAGTGGCTGGCCTTCCCCGGGCCCACCGGAAGCCATCACCATGTCAAGGGAGGCCTCGAACCGTCCTGCAGAGGCCTGGAGGGTCACTTCTTTGGAGTGTTAGAGGTGGGGCATTGGTCTGTGAGGTAGACAGAAGTGCGGCTGCGGGCAGGAGTGTAGTGGATTGCGGAGGGATTGGGAGAGGAGTGTGTGCCTGAGCACACGCTTGCCCATTGCAGCTCACCGCCATGCTGGGCGTGTTCTCGCCTGGCCTTGTCTGCCATAACAGCCGAGTGTGACTGAGGAGCCAGGGAAATGGAGCAGCCAGTGGGACCAAGGGACCGACTGGGCTTTTTGCTCCGTTTAAGTAGAAGCTGGCCTGTGGTTTTGCAGAGCAAGGTGGCTCTCCTTGGCCTCTCATGGAGCTGGGCCTTCTGAATACATGTTCAGTCATTCTGTCTGGACGAGCAGCTGACGACTATGATGGGCAGGAACTAGGGACCCGGCTGCTTGCAGGGACGGGAAAGGCTTCTTCCATCCAGAGGCAGGGTCACAGAGGTTTACTCCGGCTGTCTGGAGGGTTCTCCTGTGTTCTGTTACCTCGTCTTAGACTCTGCTGGACTCTGATTCCTGGGGTGTGTGTGTTTGATTTGAATGTCTACTGGGAAAAAAAATGACATACATTTCTTCTTCTTTTTTTTTTTTTAGCTGATGGTGCTGGGAAATTGGTCTAGGTAGGAGCCAGATGTAGGAGCTGCCAGATAGAAGGAGCCTTCTCCCTCACTGTGGCTTCCTCTCCTTACTTAGTGCAAAGTCTCTGTGTAGCTTTTGCTGGTCTGAAGTGTGTATATCCCAGGCCGGCTTTGAGTTTTCCGTTCTCCCCCTTCTACCATCTGCGTGCCGGGATAACAGACATGTGCCACCATGCCCAGCTTGCTTACTGAGCTTCTCTTTTTAAAAAATGATCTGTGTACGCGCGTGTGTGCTTGTATGCCCTGAGGTCAGGATAGGGTGTTGGACTCTCTAGAGCTAGAGTTATGGGCGATTGTGAGAGCACCTGTGGGCGCTGGGAACAGAGCCTGGGTCCTCTGGGAGAGCAAGCGCTCTTAGCTGCCAAGGCTCTTAGCTGCCAAGGCCCATTTCCGGCCGTGTTTCCTGTTCTCCTTCCCTTTCTCTTTCCTTCTTTCTTTCCCTTCCTCCCTCCCTCCCTCCCTCCCTCCCTCCCTCCCTTCCTTCCTTCCTTCCTTCCTTCCTTCCTTATCTCCTTCTTTTACCTTCCCCTTCCTTCCTTTCTTTTTACTTTTTTAAAAAATTTTTATTACATTTATTTAATTTATTTGGTGTGTGTGTGTGTTTCTGTGGTTTTGAGCCACCATGTGGTTGCTGGGAACTGAACTCAGAACCTTTAAAAGAACAGCCAGTGACCTGAGCCATCTCTCCAGCCCCCTCTTTCCCTCCCCCCCCCACCCCCTCTCTTTTTCCTCCCTCCTTCTCTCCCTCCCTCACATACTGACAGGCTCTCACAATCTAGCCTTGGTGGGCCTAAAGTCACTGTGCAGATACAGCTGGCCTTGAACTCACAGAGCTCTCTCTGCCTGTGCCCCCCCAGTGCTGGGATTAAAGGTGTGCAGCTGTTTAAACTCACAGTGTTTGCTGGCTTTGGAGCTCAGCCGTGTTCATGGGCTTCCCAGGCATGAGCGCTCCTTGTGCAGGGAGGCAGAACTGTGCCCGGCACAGCGTCAGCCACTGCAGAGTCGTGTGCGTTTTTGCTTGCCTTTGACCTCTGGGTCTCCAGGACTGATGCTCCAGTGGGTGTGCGGCCGGCCCCTGGCCTTATGCATGTGCGATTGTGTGCACCGCAGCGCCCCTCACATCCAGATGGTGTGAGCACTTGGGTCTTTGGTCATGAGCAGGCAGGAGGAGAGAAGGACCAAAAAAGGCTCGTGGCGGAAAGCGGGAGAGAGCGGTGCCTCTTTGCTTTTCCAGGTGGGCTTGGAGGGCGTGAGTGTCATGTCCTAGCTGGTGTATTCTCAAGGGGGAGCCAGGTCGCTGACTGTCACATCAGGGCATCTCTGGCCTTGGAAGGACCAAGTTGGAACAAATGAGTGGTGAGGGCACGGTGGGTAGCGCTTACTCAGCTCTCTGAGTGGAAGAAGAGAACCCAGTACCGAGGGTTCTCCCTCGATCCCGTGTACCTGTTGTGTTGTTCCATGTGTTAGTGTGTGCGAACATGGGAAGGTGTAAGGGACAGGTAGCTTGGGGCTCCCTGAGGTTGGGGTTTCTGGTTGTGGTGGAAATGGAGTTTATCCCTGCAGCAACTCCAGGGACACCCTGTGCCCTTGTGTGTTTGCCTTTCTCTTGGACTTGAAGACGTTAGGTGCTGGCAGGCTGTCCTGGTGTGTGTTCACGTTCCTCTTGTTCTGTGTGGGTTCTCAGCAGATCGAGGGATTACTGTCTTGGCTTTGGGGCCCTGTCTTGCTTAATAGCCCAGCGACAGCGTGAAATAGATCAAGATGATGTATGTTTGGGTTCAAGTTGGAAGGGACCAAAGAGCGTCCCTTTCCTGGGGGTGGGGCTGCGGCTGGGGCACTTTTCCCAGCCCTAGCAGCACAGCCATGTGCCCAAGCAGTGGCGGGGAGAAAGCCACGGTGGTAAACTGCTCAGGTGGTAAACTGCTCAGCCGCCTCTGGCGGAAAGGAGGGATGTGGGCGGGGCTGAGATGCTTGCCGCTGTGTGAGCACCCTCCCTGCAGCCCGCTCAGCCCGCTCTTGCTGCAGAGTGTGACAAAGAGCTGGGAAGAGACACTAGGCCGGGTCCTCGGCAACCATGCCCTCCTCTTGGAGCAGCTACTGTGCTGCATGACTTCACAGAGGGGACCACCGGCTCTGGCCAGGAGATACTGTCGGGTCCTTCCTCAGATCGCTGCTCCCGTGCCACCGCCCCGGCCCTCACACCAGCGACCTGAGAGGTGGCTTTACCCAGGGATAGCAGCGGAAAGGGCCTGGTTTGGCTCTCAGTGGGCAACCCAAGCTGTTCGTGCCAGGTCACAGGAGAGCTCGGTGGCACACATGCCCAGGCCCATGGGCGTTGGCACTTGGTTCTAGCACACCTCTGTTTTCAGGGCCACTGGCAGGATAAAGACTCCCAGCTTACCTGTGTTAAAACATACTTTGAAGAGCTAGAAGGATGATGGCTCAGGGCCTCAAGTGCAAGCATGAGGGCCCAAGCTCAGTTCCCAGGTGGTGCAGGCTGTGGTCCAGGTGCTGTGCAGGCACAGACAAGGAGGCTCTGGGGCTCCCTGGCCAGCCCAGCTAGCCTTCGTGGCAAGCCCCAGGACCCACTGAGAGACTCTCTCTGCAAAAACAAGATGGGGTCAGTGAGACAGGTAAAAGGCACTTGTCACCAACCCTTACGACCTGAGTTCAATCCCTGGCACCCATAGGGTGGAAAAAGAGGAGAGCTGAATCCCACAAGCCATCCTCTGACTTTCTTGTGTGTTCCCTGGCACACTCACGTCCCCACAAATAAACACACGCACGCAGAAGAAATTAAAATATAACAAAATTTTTAAAAATTTTGACCGGAACCTGAGGATCCAAGTTTGAGGTTGACCCCTAGCTCCCGTAACACATACACATACACACACACACACACACGCGCGCGCGCGCGCGCGAGACCACAGACATACACGCAGATAAAAAAAATAAAACCTACTTTGACTGCAGATACGGACTCAGATGACGATGAAGATTTCCTGAAAAACGCGTGGTCTGCCCAAGGCCCCTCCAGCTCCAAACTGACCTCATCCCTCCTGTGCGGCATGGTGACCAAGAGCAGCAAGCCGGCCCCAGGCCCCAAGCTGACCAAGAGGGGCCTGGTGGGCCCCCGGACTCTGAAACCCAAGGCGGCCGCCAGCAGGAAGCAGTCCTTCTGTTTGCTGCTCCGAGAGGCCGGGGCCCGCTCCTCCTTCAGCGACTCTTCTGAGGAGGACTCCTTTGATCAAGGTTACTAGCGCCAAACACAAAATAACCTTCCATGTTTTTTAGAGCGAGTGAGTGGGAGAGAGCGAGCAAGCGAGCGTGCGGGAGTGCGTGCACACAGCAGGGATGGCTGTAGCCGTCGAGGCTTTTGGCAGCGTAGCCTGCCCTATCCGCCTATCTACCTTTTTTGTTTGCATTTGCTTTTTATTTTTTACTTCAGCTTGTGATAACTCCACTGGCCAGCCCTTAGGGAGCTCTTACACGGACTTATTTTCAGTCTCCCAGAATTTCTTTCCCTCCTTCCTCTGCACTCCATCGGCCCTCCCCAAGGGCCTCCCCCGACTCCCAGATCTAAAAGCCTAACCTTGCCCTCTCCAGACCCCCAGGCCGGCCTGGGCTTTCTCTTGGCACAAGCCTGGCGGAGGCTTGCCCAAGGAGCATTTTGTAAAGACGGACCTCTTGTGTGGGCGTGACTTGCTGTTTGTACCGCAATTTTGGTAATGCCGAGCTTTATTAAACATACCAAGTTCATTTTTAACTAAACTGTGTGCCTCGTTTCTCTTGCTATGTCCTTAACTACAAGTTAGGTTGCCACCTCCCTCCCTCCATTCCTCCTTCCCGCTCCTCTCTTCCCGCTCCTCGCCCCTACTCCAGAAGCCATAGACATGGCTGGGCCGCTTTCCTGTTATTCAAATATCCCTGGTATCTTTGGCATCCATTCCATTTTCCGGGTGTAGAGTCAAGTGTTGGACCATCTATCTGTTTTTGTTTTTGTTTTGTTTTTTCCTTTTAAGCTGCTTGTCTGTGTTTTTATTTATTTATTTATTTTTCTGGAAGCTTCTGCTGCTACCCACCAGTGGTTAAACAAAACAAAACACGAACAACAATTAACTTACCAATGCTGTTTGCTAACACATTTCTGTTTTGAAGGGCATGTGGGCAGTTCAGAGTCAAGGCCTCTTGGCCATCTCACTGATTTTGTGATTTAATATATATTTTTTTAATTTTTATTTTTCTCTCTCATTTTTTTTTCTTGTTCAATTTGGAAACGTTGGCTCGGTTGCCACGCCGAGGGTCAAAAATGGTATTTCTTGGGGTTGCTGTCCTGAGATCTGGCTCCAGCTCAGCCTAGGGGTCCACCGCCAAAGAGCATTCTGGCTCCCACTTTTTCCAACGTCAGAATCGTAGCCTGCAGTTAGAAATTTGACAGCCCTCAGGCCCTTCAATCAGAAAATGTCCCCTCCAGGGAAGAAAGTGACACTGCCCATTGTCCCTTGGCTAGGGTCTGCTTCTGAGGAAGTCCCTCTAGAGCTAGAGTTTGGAAATACCCAGATGGGTAGCAACACGTTTGTCTGCTGAGCATGGCCCCAGGTGTGGGGAGGAGGGTCATAGCAAACTGGGACGTGACCGTACCTGCTTGAGCCCCCTGGGGTTAGGACTCTGCCCCTGTGGTCCAGCCTCCTCTCCTCCCACGCCAGCCTTCCTCACTGGCAGAGATGGGATTTGGGGTGACCAGGTGATGGCACAAAGGGAGCCTGGTGCCTTTTGGGTTGTTCCTGTGCTTTCCGAGCCAACACAACCTGGGCCACAAAGAGAGGCCGCCAGTCCCCTGTCACAAGCCTCCCCACCTGGTCCTCTGTGGATAAGACTGGTTGGCCCCTTGTCCCCTCCCCATGACCTGGGGTGTGGTGCCTCTGCCCTTCCCTGCGCCCCCACTTAAAATCAGAGTGCCAGCCCTGAAGGTTTCAGCATAGACTACACAGAAGCAGGCATCCCAGGCCTCCTAGACAGTGCCAGGGGACCATAGCCAGAGAGAGGATTTGAAAGGGGCGAGGGCCAGGGCGTGGCTCCCCGGCTTGCCTCTACCATTCAAAGCAAAACCAGCTGGTGAGGTCTCGGAAAGGGATATTTGGGTAATAGGGCCTTCCTGCCCCTTGGTACTAAAACACTTAATTGGTGTGGCTTTTCTAGTATGTCTGCTTTCTCCTCCCAGCAGCTTGACCATCCCTCCAACCCTTGACCCCTACCCATGATGCTTTGAGTGTCTGTTTCGGTCTCTCGCATTTGCTCTCACGCTGCACTTGGACGCAAAGCGAAGGCTGGGAGTAGGGCAGACGGCGGGTTACTGAGTTTGAGTCCGAGCCTGGCTCGTTGCTCCGTAGGTAGGCAAAAACCATTTTCCTTTTCTACTCTCTGTTTAGTTCCCCTCCTCGGGGTCTGCCCCCACCGGGTCTGGCAGCAGCACATTGCTTGGACTTTATCAGGTTTTGGGAACTCGATTACCCAGCCCCTTGCCCTGAGCCAGGATTTAAAAAACAAAACAGTAACAACAAAAACCATGTATTGACATTAAAGGTTTCCCCCTTCTTCATTCCCTTCAGAGTCTTTGTTGGGACTTTTCTCCCCCTCTCCCTTTGGCAAGCTCTGTGGACCCTGGCAGAGAGAATTCCAGAAATTCTTGACACCCCTTGCTTGTCCTTCAGGGTCCCTTGGCTCTCCTTGTCCTCATAGATGCTGGTCCAATCATACTAGACACTGCATGAGTCTTGACAAGCACCTCAGTTGTGAGGACTACAGGAGACCTTGGGACAAAAGCCCCCATTCTGGGTTTCTGCCTTCTGGAATGTTCTGCAGCATCAAACTGCTGAGACCGACTAGCTCCTGGCTTTCTGGGATCTGACTGTGGCTCTCAGAAACCCAGAGCAGGCACTCAAATGTGCCTCCCTGCCCATGATGCCTACTACCTGAGAATCCTTCTGGAAAGAATGTTCTGGACTTCCGGTCTCCACACCTGAGCAGCCAGGACAGAGGGGGAGTTTTTAGAAAGGGGAGATTCCCAGTTCCCAATCCCAGCCAGCCACCCTCCCCATTCCCTGCCTACCCCTACCCAAATTGGCCAACTCCAGCGAGGCCCGATGTGGGGTTACATCGGGGTTACCGATGTGGGGCTGCCGAAAAAAAGTCTGCCTACACTTAGCCTGCTTTGCCGCCGTGGCCCACTGGGGCGGAGACAGAGCCATGTGACGTCGCAATGTGATTGATCGCAAGTGCGCACTGCCTGCCTGCCCTGCCTGCCCCGCTGGCATCCCCAGCCTGCTTCATCCATCGCTCTGGGAACGCCTCCCGCCTTGCACCCTCTTAACCAACTCCCTGTCCCGCTTTCTCTCTGTCCCTCTGCTTCCCTCTCTCTGGCCTCTGTGCAGACCACCCCCCTAGCTATTCCCCACCTCCACCTCCCAAGCTGGCTGGCCGGGCAGAAACCAGGATTCCCTGCCATAGACAGGCGGGCTAGAACTCTGCCCTCGGGCACCAGCGGTGCCATCTGCAGCCAGTAGTTCTCTAACCACGCTGTGGTGTGGGCCTTAGCAGGAAAAGCAGTATTTGACCCCCTGTCCAACCCTCACATATAGGATATGCCTCTCTTGACATTGCTTCTGAGATGAGAGTAGCCTCCCAGCCCTACCTGGGCCCCAGGCACAAGCCCTCTGAGGCAGTGCCACCTGTGCCTTGGTGCTATTTCCCTTGGTCGTAAGCGAGTCTTGATTTAGTTTTTAGTTTTTCGAGACGGGGTTTCTCTGTGCAGCCCTGGCTGTCCTAGACTCACTTTGTAGACCAGGCTGGCCTCGAACTCACAGAGATGCCTCTGCCTCCCGAGTGTTGGGATCACAGGTGTGCACCACCACGCACGGCTAACTAAGCCCGTGTTTACCTTCAGGTGTCCTCACCATCTGGTGGAGAATTTGGTCGCATGCCTAGAACACTATTGCCCGGCCTAGCAAGAGCTGCCAGCCCTTGGGCCAGCAGAGCCTGCTGCTGGGGTGAAGCTGTCCTCTAACCCAGCAGAGACCTGGCCTGGACACCTTCAGCCTGTGCTGCAGCCTGGGGGTTTGGCCTCATGCCCTACTGCAGGGTAGGCTGGTCTGCCCATTGTAGGGTAACCTGAGCTCATATTCATGGCTGGCATTGTTTCTTTATCAAACACGGTCACACTATGTAGCCCAGGCTGGCCTTGAGCTCGCAATCCTTCTGCCTCGGGCTTAGGCCACAGGTGTGCACCACCACACCAGGCCGTGCCACATAGGCTGTGGAGCCTCTTAGCTGGGCTGGTGGGCTGGGAGGCCACCCCAGGCTCGGAGAGCCTCCCTAGCGCGGAGATGCTAGATCCTAGCTCTGCACAGGAAATGAACTATGTGGGTGTCCTCGTGTCCAGGAAGGGATCAAATTCTGCTTTCTGCCAACAGCCCCCTGACCTCTGGCTGACCAAAATGCTACGGACCCCCTAGATTCCCCCAGCCTGAGCCCAGCCTTCCCTCCTCCTGTTCCCTCCTCTGCTCTCTGTTCTTTCCTGTTTCCTTTCTCAGCCTTCATGTCTATGTCGGGACGTGTGCACACGCGTGTGTGGACTGTGACGAGCGCTGTCTCCTGTCTTTGTCCGTCTGTGTGTCTGTCCCCCACCCACAGCACAGGTGCATGTCAGTGCTGCCCTCCCAGAAGCCCGTCCCGACACCCAGAGCTGCCCCTCTTCCTCCCCCAGGCTGCCCGTGCGTGGGTGACTGGTAGAGGCCTTGGGCCGTGGGTGGGACCGTGGGCTGGTTCTGGACCCTCCCCCAGCGGCCCTTGGTGAGGACAGAGACTGGAGCCAGGGGGGTGGCGGGAGGAGGTGGGGGGCAGCACGCGCCCAGGTCAGGACCCTGACTTGTTCGTTGTGTTCTGCATGCCAGATGACAGCTCAGAAGAGGAGGAGGAGGAGGAAGAGCTGGAGGACGAGGAGGAGGAAGAAGAAGAGGAAGCCTTTGGTAGCTATAGGCTGAGTGCCGGGGAGCAGGCCCTGTCGCCAGGCCTGGAGGAGAGTGGGCTGGGCCTGCTGGCTCGCTTTGCGGCCAGCGCCCTCCCCAGCCCCATTGTCGGGCCGCCCCTCTCTGTGGTGCAGCTGGAAGCTGAACAGAAGGCCCGGAAGAAGGAAGAGCGGCAAAGCCTGATGGGTGAGTATCATTGGCTCCAAAGTGGGTGCTGTGGGCCTATCACAAAGATAAGGAGACTGAGGCTCCGTGGAGGACAGGAGGGCTGGGTGGGTCTTGGATCCACTGACTGGACAGAGTGCTGCCGATAACCCTTGGGCGTTATCTTCTAGGAGGCGTGCCCATGACCACATAAGAATTGCTCCCTTCTGCTGGGCGCGGTGGCGCACGCCTTTAGTTCCAGCACTCAGGGAGGCAGAGGCAGGTGGATCTCTGTAAGTTCTAGGCTAGCCTGGTCTATAAAGCAGAGTCCGGGACAGTCAAGGCTATACACAGAAACCCTGTCTCAAAAACCAGAAAACGAACAAGAAAGAGACTTGCTTCCTTCACCTCATACTGTCATTAATGACGCTGGTAGCTTGAGGGTCTATGGGAGCTCAGGAAAGGCCCTGACCCAGGCCTGGGGACCGGAGGCCACCGTTAGGTGAGCAGTCTCCATCCAGGGAGAGGAAAACATAGTGACAGAGAGAGGTGCAGAAGGAAGAGGACAGGAAAACACTGTGGAGATGTTCTGTGAGTCCAGCGAGGTAGGGGATGCCGTCAATGGCCTGACACCGTCGGCTGGAGGGGTCAGGGTTGGCAGGCTGGGGCCCTCTGACTTACTGTCTTAACGGGCTGAGGTCATGACATTAGCTTCGAGGCAGGAAGCTCTGGCTGATGTCTCACTTCCATCATATTCTTGAGTCCCTGATGAGTCCCGGGGTCCTTTCCCCAGCTGTCAGGGTATGTGGTTCCTGGGGCTGCTGAGAGGGCGCTTGCCTGGCCTGCACGGAACCCTGCATTCTGTCTCTCCCCAGCGTCGCCTAAACCAGATAGGGTGGTGCATGCCTGCAGCCCCAGCACTCAGGAGTGGGGAGGATTAGGGGTTCAAGGCCATCCTTAGCTATAACGCATAGCAAGCTGGAGGCCAGCCTAGGAAATAGAGTCCCTTTCTCAAGTGGGGGTCGTGGGGTAGATGTGAGGACTTTCCGGCTGTGACAGGGGCACGGCTTCCTCCACGCTCCCTGGGGATTTTCCCAAGTCGTCCCATGTCTACCCATGGTACCTTCCTCTTCCCCTAAAATGTATCACTGTTGCCCCGGCGTCTTGAGGCTTTTACATTTGCTGTTTCTATATCCCCAAGTATCAGGGATCTCGGCATGTACGTCAGACCATAGTCATTTGTTTCCATAGATGAAGCATAAGTAAGCAGTGTATTTTGGTCATATGTTTTACTACTTAATTATCTAAAACAGCTTTTTAAATTGCCCTTTGATTTATTTTGCATGTGTGCGTCTGGGTGCATGCGTGCCACAGGAGACACGCCAAGGTTTCTCAGAAGTCCTGGGAATCGAACTCGAGTCATCAGGCTTGGTGGCAGGCACTGTTTTCTGTTGAGCCCTCTTGCTGGCCCCCCATTGTTTGTTTACGCGTTTTCGACCCCTCCAAGTGTTCCTAGCATATACTTGGCTCAGGTCTTGCCTCTTGTGTATGAGTCCTTCTGGAAGTTGTACCAAAGGATCCTGAGCCAGATTCAGCCTCTTCCTCAGCTTGAGAGCTCTGGGCATTCTTATAGATAATTTTTGAAGGTCACCTGGTGCTGTGTGTCACCCTCCAAACTGGACCCAGTGCGGGTCTCCTCCCCTCCCATTCAGTTCGTGCCATTCTCTATCCAGATCTCTCCAACAGCGGTTTCTAGCTTCAAAAGGAAACCTTGCCACTGGGGCAGCGATATAGAACCTTCTCCAGTCTGTCCAGTGGGTGCCGGGGCAGGATGCTAGGCTGCCTCTGAAGAAAGCATAAGACGTTTTAGTCTCTTGGAGTCTTCTTTTGCGTCACAATCATCACTAGCAACTATTAACAAAGGTTTCCCTCAGGGCAGGTTGCTTCTTAATGACTGTCAGGGACACAGGTTTCTCAATGCCTACTTTAGTGGTCTCCAGCAAGGAACGTTTATTTATTCGTCTTGTTAGTTATTGTCTCCGAGGCTATTGCCTCCTCCTGCTAACCTAGTCCTAGTCCTGGAAGCTTCTATCCTCTGTACAATCGAACCTAGGCCTACACTGTTTTCAGCCTCTGAGACTCACTGCTGAATAAGCTCACCCTTTCTTGTTCTTACTAGGCTCGGGGCTGGCTGGTTCAACTAGGATGTTCTGGTTCAAACTCCTCTCCCAGCTGACTGATTCAGCCTGGCTTTTCTCTCGGCCTCTGCATTGCTCTGCTTGGCCTCAAACTTAACTCCAGCGATCTTTTCCAATCTCCTGGTTCCTTCGCAATCTCTGGTTCATTCAGTCTTCCCCTGAGTTCTCTCTCTGCAGCCTGTCTGTCTATTGCTGCCTCTTAATACTCATCATTGCCGCCTCTCATTGCCGCTTACATAGCTTCCCTTCCCCTCTCTTTTTGTAAGAGTTGGGTGTATCCTATTCTGTCAAATCATCTCTGATTCGTCATCTTTTCTGCCATTCGTTAGACATCATTTTCCAAACATGGGTGCTTCCGTCTACAAATTGTACCTTCACCTTTGTTGCCAGGTGTATCATCACACCTGGACTTAAGCTTTTCTTTACCTGAAACTTGCTCTATGCCAGGGCGGCCTTGAACTCAGATCTGCTTCCTCTGTCACCTGGATTAAAGATGTGTTTGTATTCCAGCCTTTGGATGTGATCTCTTGTCAGAACAGCCATGTTCTGAATTATGATTCCTCTACATGCACCGTGAGTTATTAGATCGCTGGACGCTTATCGTGGAAGCCAGCGTGAAACAAGAGCAAGGCTCCCACAAGGGCAGCGTGCCCTCCTGACGTTGAACCCTCTCGCCAGCCCCTGTGGATGTGGGTCTTTTGTCCGTGTGTGTGTGTGTGTGTGTGTGTGTGTGTGTGTATGCATCACTTGTGTGCCTGGTGGAGCATCAGATTCCATGGACCTGGACTTACAGACGGTGTGGGTGTTGGATACCAAATTCAGGTCCTCCGGAAGAGCAGTCAGTGCTCTTAGGCACGGAGCCGTCCCTCCAGCCTCCACCCCGCCCCCATTTTTAATGTCTGTAGGGTCTGGTAATTTATCTTCCTTTATTGTTGATATGCTCTTGCTTGGTCAGTCTGGCTAGAACTTCCTGTCTCATCAGCTGCTGCCCACCCCACCCCATGCACAGTCCATTCTTTCTCTTTTACATTTATCGTGTGTGTGTGTGTGTGTGTGTGTGTGTGTGTGTGTGTATGTGTGTGTGTACTTGCCACGGCGCTGGTGTGAAGATGATAAGACAGCCTTCGGGAGTGGGTTCTCTCCACCCTGTAGCTCCAGGGGTTGAATTCAGGGCGTCAGGCCTGACGGCAAGCTTCTTACTTGCTGAGGCATCACACCAGCCCCGGCTTATTGATTTCTGTCCATTGCTTCCTTCTGTTTCCTTTGGACGTATGAGTCATTTGCAGGCACGTCCTGTTTCTCAGGGTATATCTTAGATCACGGATTTGAGACCTCACTCTTTTGTCCGTAGATACAAACCTCTCTGAAAACACAGCTTCAGTTGCGTCTCATACATTGCGGTGCTTGTTGGGTTCTCATTGTTCAGGAATCATTCTAAGTCTTTCCTGCGCTCTCTGCCTTGCTCCTGTGATGACTCAGAAAGTTGTTCATTCTCCAGACACTCGAGGGTAGGTGCTCGGTCATCTTGCGGATCTCTGCTTGGATTCCGTTCCAGTTGGAAAGCACATTCTGTAATATCGATGACAAGGAAATTAGTTTGGTTTAGTTTGACCCCTGAGGTAGGGGCTGCAAGGCTGGGACATGACCCTGGTAGCTGCGTGTTTCTCTTCCGAGAACGCTTTCTTCTTCCAGGTCTCTGCCAGCTTCCTGTCCCTGCTCCACACAGTGCTCCAGTGTTTGCACGAGGGGCCACGCAGCGAGGGTGACCTGATCCTCCTGCCTCTGCCTCCTGAGTGCCGAGATTACAGGCGTGCACCACCAGGCAGGTTCTGTGCCGCGCTGGGGACAGAACCCGGGGCTTCATGCATTCTAGGCAGGCAACTTGACTACTGTGCCACACCCCGGAACCCCAAAACAAAACTCAACTCTTAAGCCTGACTTTCCGACCTGAATCCTCCTCACTAGAGGAATGCCCCTCCCCCTCTCCTCCAGCTGCCTTCCTGCACATTTCATGGGGAGAAGCTTACTAATGAGTTAATTAACGAGATCTTTAAGCTTTGAAGGGACTCATTCTCACACAGTGTCCTTTGCCCTCGAACCCCTTCCCTACCACTGTGGCTGCCTCTGAGGGCTTGGGCCCCCCCTGGGCTCCCTGTGAACAGGCTGCCTGCTGCGTAGAGCCAGGATTGGGCCCTCACCTCCTCTGTGGGAGTTGGGGGCCAGTGATGGTGTTGCCTTCTAGGGGACTGTCAGCCCCACAGGCTGTCTGGTCTGTGGAATGACAGACATACCTTTTAGCCTTTGTTTCTAAGGGACACCCCATCGACTGAGCCTCCTGAGTGCTGCTGGCTCGGAACTTAATCTGAGCTCTGGGGACGGGAGAGACCTCAAGAGAACTGAGAGAGCTTATTTCTAGACCAGGGCAGGCTGGGCTAGGCCACTATGTGGACGGAGAGGCTAGACAAACAGGGAAAGGGCTGTTAGGGCAGCAGAGGGACTGTGAACAGAGAGGGGTTGCCCCCGGGGACCAGTGGGTTTGTAGCAAGTCTGTATCTCCCAAGTCAAGGCTTCTGTGCTCTGGGCTGAGGGGACAGTAGAACTGCAGCTTGACAGAAAAAGGTGGCGGACGGATTGAGCTAGTGGCCTTGAGGTCTGGTAGTGTACCTCAGAGATCGGGACATATGGAAGAGGGTCCCGGTTGTGTAGGGGCATGTTAAGGGGGATTGAGGGGAGGGACTTCTGAGGAGCCTCAAAGCAGGAAGCAGGAAAGGAATCTGTCAGGAAGTTGGTCGATGGGGCCTCAGGCTTGGGGGTTTCTTGGGGCTTTCCCCGCTGCCTCACTGTGCAGCCCTCAACGAACCTGCCCTGTTTCTGAGGTTTTCTGATGGGGGCCTAGGACCTATATATTTTAATCAGTATTCTTGGGATGAGAGGTGGGGAGCAGCCATGAGTAGGGGATAGGTGAGTTGGGTGAACCCTGTCCTTCTCTGAGCCTCAGTTTACCTCCTCCTGGTAACAGGAGAAAAGTTTCCAGAGCGTGTGTTGCTGGGTGGGATGGGTCTGTGGACTCCTTGCTGATGGTCTGTAGGGCCAGGTGGCTAGGAAGAGGGTGGAGCTCCCAGCCACCAGCCCCCACCTCCTCCTTTCCACATCCAGGCACAGAGTTTGAGTACACAGACTCAGAGAGTGAAGTCAAGGCTCCCAGGCAGTCACCATCTGGGCTGCTGCGGCCCAAGAAGGGCGTGGGGGAGCCCAGCCAGTCTCTGGCTGTGCCTGTACCTGGTCCTCGGGCCTCCGGTCCCACCAGCCCAGACAAGGCCAAGCTGGCCTCAGAGAAGGGACGCAAAGCCCGGAAGGTTCGTGGCCCTAAGGAAGCCGGCTTCGAGGCGGGGCCAGAGGCCAGCGACGATGACCTATGGACACGACGTCGGAGCGAGCGCATCTTCTTACATGACGCCTCCGCTGCGGTCCAGGCACCCAGCAACACTGTACCAGCAACCAAGCCTAGCCGCTGTGGCAGGGGAGGTGCCCCAAGCCCACGGAAGGACACCGGCCGAGCCAAGGACAGGAAGGACCCCAGGAAGGTAAGATCTCAACGCAGGTCTCTTGATCTCCATCGGTGGGATGATGGCTTTGATGTTAGCAGTGTGCCCATGGAAGAGCCCACCGTGTTGTGTGTGTGTGTTTGGGTGGGGCTGCGTCTATGCCGTGACTCACGTGTAGAGGCCGACGGACAACTCTTGTGTAGTTTCTCTCCTGTCACCGTTAGTGGATTCTGGTGATCAAACACAGGCCAGCAGGCTTGCATGAAAGGCCTGTTTACCTGCTGATCCATCATCTCTCCAGCCTGGGTTGTCTTTTCAGACAGGGTCTGTTGTAGCCCAGGCTGGCCTTGAACTTGTAACCCTCTCACTGCCACGTGTAGATTATAGTCTGGAGGTCTGAGGCAAAGTTTCAGCGGAGCCGGTTATTACCTAAACCGTGGTCATAGCTCCGAGGCTGCAGCTCAAGTCTGTAGTGGGTGGGCGTCGCCTCCCGTGGCAGCTAGCCGGGCACCTAGGTTATTTCCAGATCTTTGTTTGGATGACCTTGTTTGCAAGACATTGGTCACCGCACCTGCAGGGCGGAGTGCCTAGCTCTCTATATGGAGGTGCGTAGGAGGAGGCTCCCTCAGTGCCGAGTCCTGGGAGGCTCACACACATCCACAGCTGACCGGGCAGCCGCTGCACCGTTGTAAATGCCCTCCCAGGAGCATGGCCGCTAGAACTCACTGGTAAGGCTTTACTGTTGCTCTTGTTGGGTATTGCTAGCATTTGAATGAGTAGTTAAATCAAACTAGTCCCTCCATACATGGGATAGCCCTCAGCAAAACAGAGCCTCTGTGGATACCGGGATGCTCAGGAGAGACACCTCGTAATAAGAGTGCTTGTCGGTATCTCTCAGGCCTAGACTCCCCCAGTGAGGGCTGGGGTGTGGCTCAGTGGTAGAACCTCAGCCTAGAATCCCCCAGTGAGGAACTGGGGTGTGGCTCAGTGGTAGAGCTTCTGCCTAGCATGTCCAAAGCTCTGAGTTTATGAAATATTCCCGTATTATAAAAGCCAAAAGTTTGTACATAAATGTTTCTGCATAGTTACCTGTTTGTGTGAGATTCTGGAAGGTTCTGTAGTAATATACACACTGCTATTAGCAGAGATTCATGGGTTTGCATTTTAGCACTTTCTTTGTTTACTGATTTGTACAATAAATTATATGGTGATGATAGAAATGAGCTTCGAGAGCTAGCAAGATGGCTCAGTGTTTAAAGACACCTGCGACAAAGCCTGATGGTTGATGACCTGAGTTCAATCCCTGGACCCTGTATTGTAGAAGGAAAGAGCTAACTCTGGCAGGTTATCCTCTGGCCTTCACATGCACATGTGGCAAAAACACGCCCTCATTCATACACGTTATATAATTACAGATTATATTATTAACATGTATAATATGTAAGGACATAAGTGAGAGTCAATAAAAATAACCTGGGGACCATGTCCGGTGGCGCACACCTGTGATCCTAGCACTCAGGGAGGCAGAGGCAGGCGGGTCTCTGTGAGTTGAAGGCCAGCCTCGTCTACAAAGCAAGTCCAGGACAGCTGAGACTACACAGACAAACCATGTCTCAAAAACAAAAATTTGTGAATAAAATCTAGAACTCTTGTATGGAGAGAGGAGCCTCAGTGCTATCTTAGGTGTGCTATGATGAGGGTCACGTGGGTGTGAGAGGTGGTCAATGGCGGGGATCCTGCAAGCCTCACAGTTAGCAAGCAGAGAAACGGTGCATGAGAGTCAAGGATGAAACCCGGGTCGGCGTCATTTTAGCAGGCACTGGGGCAGACCTTCCAGAGTCTGACCCCGATTCTCTCTCTTACACATTTAAGCACGGTAAAACTTTGGAAAGAGGTTTCCATGTGACAGTTATAACAACACTTTGCACGTTTATCCATCTAAAACCCTTGCAAAGTAGCAAAGCGCCTGTGACCTTTACAGTGAGAGTTGAGTTCTGTTGGCTGATCCGCAGAGCTCAGGGGAAGGGAGGAGGGATTTGTAGCAAGTGCGAGGCCGGATTCTGCCAGTGGAGGATGCAGTGTGCACGGGACCTCTTTCATAAGGACGGGCTCTGTCCCCTGAGAGACAGAGCTCAGGCCAAGGGCCTAGAAGATACGCACGAGACTGGGTTGAGTCTCAGCGCACCAGGCTGAGAGATGGCACCCCCTCCAGCCCCCCGGGTGAAAAAGTGTCGGCCGTTTTCTTCCCTTGAAGAACAGGCCTTCGAGTTTAACAGGTCTGGCTTTTCCATTGCTTTCCGTGAACCATGGCTCCTACACCCTGCCGAGCCCAAGTGGCCTGGGCGCCCCCCTCTCCCCGCTTGTCCTCTGACATTTCTACCCTTTGCTTTCTCCTCTAGAAGAAGAAAGGGAAGGAGGCTGGCTCAGCGGCCACACTGCCACCCGCCCGTGTTTCCACCCTGCCTGACTCCAGGGCCACCCACCCAGGGCCCCTGGCAACTGCCAAACGCAGCAAGGCCAAGGCCAAAGGAAAGGAGGTGAAGAAGGAGGTAAGGATGCTAGGGCAGCTCATAAATCAAGGCTGGGCTGGGGCTCAGGTCAGGCGTGGGCATGCAATGCCCCTAGCCCATGTGGTCGTGCTGGCTATGAGTGTGACAAGCCTGAGCGTCTCCTGTGCCAGCTCAGGGCTCAGCCAAGACTGTAACCACCTGAACTGAGAGACCTTCCCGCAGCCCCCGTCCGGGTGCTCAGGCTCCTCTTTGTTGGCAGAGGGCTATGGTGTGCCTGCGTGTGCCATCGCCTCCTCCCATGGCCCAGTTTTCTCACAGCTTCATTGTACATGGCTAGAAGTCATGGTGTCTGCTATGCTCACATGAGGAGAGTACTGAGCACTGAGTACTAGGTACTGTGCCGAGTACACAAGGCTTGGACTACAGTGCTGTGGCTGGTGCCTCTGCAAACTGACCATGGCCCTGGATTTCTGAGGAATGTTCCCAGAATGACAGGACGACCCCTGCCTGCCTTGTGCGGTGGCATCAGCGTGTGTGTTCTCCCCCAGAACCGAGGAAAAGGGGGTGCCGTGAGTAAGCTGATGGAGTGTATGGCAGCGGAGGAGGACTTTGAGCCCAACCAGGACTCAAGCTTCTCCGAGGACGAGCACTTGCCCCGAGGTGGGGCCGCAGAGCGACCTTTGACCCCAGGTGAGTGTCCTGAGAAGCTTCAGGGGTTCCCCGGAAGTATTTAGACCTCAGCGCAGGGTGAGGCCCTGAGGCTGGGGCAGCCCAGCTCCGGCCTAGCCAGCCCTGTAGTGGGGATGGGGAAAGATGAAGTAGGCTGATGACATGCTGATCTTGGGGCCAGTCTCCACAGTGAGATAGCGTCTTAACGTAAGCCTGGCTGTGCAGGCGGCTGGGAGGCAGGAAGCTGCTGCCAGGAAGCCTTCGCCACCATTGACAGCATGAGGGAGACAGCTTGAAGGATGATGGGTTAGGTGGGAGATGAATGGATGGGGGCAGGAAGAGGTGAAGACCGATGTTAGGAGGTCCCTGGAGAAGCTGTCAGTGAGATGGGTAGTGTGTGAGCGATTATACATTTGCACAGGATGGCCACAGTTCAGGGATGTTTCAACGACGCCCTAAACAGGGTACTTGGAGCCCAGGGTCTGAGCTAGGAGGAGGGATGGTGGGTGTGAGCTGTGGGGAGCAGGTTGGAAGAGGAGCTAGGCTATCCCTGCTGGGGTGCCTTGGTCACACTGGCAGCGGTGCAGCCAGCCACGGGCTCACGCATGCATCTGGGTGGCAGCGCTGACCTCGGCAGGCATGCTGTCATGCTGATGGGCTGTAGAGGCCCAAGCTACAGCACTCTGCCCCGATTGTCACTAACCCCAGCTGTGCGGGACAAGGATAGGAGTGGGGCAGCTTGGGCCCATGGGGGTGACTGAAAACCAGGAGGTCTCCCCTGACTCTGTAGAACTGGCTAGCATTCTGTTCTCTGCCCAGAGTAACTAGCACTGTCAAGACCAACTTTAAGGTGCACAGTTTTCCCTCTGCCTATGAGCATGGGCGCAGAAGCAGGAGCAACAGAGGAGTGTGTTTTATATTTGTCCATCCATCATCCATCTATCTATCTATCTATCTATCTATCTATCTATCTATCTATCTATC